GCAGCAGACATTCAGCTGACATTTGCTGTATGCATTAAATAGTGTTGTGCTACGTTTGGAACATGGTGGACATTAATATCATATGCTTTCATAATGTTCCCCTCACAGTGTTAAAAATAAATTACTGCAGATGGGAGCATTAGTTTACCACTTGCATTGAAGTAAATGCATTGGTCCTGGCAAAGCTTTCCTTCCAGTTTTGTTTAAAATGAATTAGTTTTTTTAACAGAATGATTTACTTGGTGTTCAAGCAGTCGTGCAGTAAGATTTTCAGTGAAGGGGCTGTTCATGCATCTGGATTGCGATGGTGGGCTGTTGGTTACAAAGAGAACTTTTTACTGCAGTGGGAGGCACTTGGGGGATTGAGAAGGCATGGTAGAATGTGCTGGGAAAGTCATTACAGCTCAAACCAGCTGGTAACTAAGAAACTTAAAAGCTGCAAAGTTATAACTGTTTCAACTTAGCAGGCAACTATGTTATAATTTTTTTTTTTTTGCAAAAGAAAATGCATCAGGACTCAGTTTGGACAGAAAATCTGCTAGACACTTCCAGTGATGCTGAGATCAGCCGAAAAGGGAATAATCCACAACTTTTCCTCTAGGAGACTTAATACCATTGATTTGTGTCATTGCAACACAGAGCAATGAAAAATCCCCGCCCTCCGTTAAAGAAATACAGGTACAGAAATGCGGAGCAGTGTTCCCTTTCGGCTACACGTCGCATCCCCAGGAGAGCAGGGTAGGAGGACGGCTGCTCGCCATTCTGAACTAGGCACGACAGACACAGGGCTCTCAGTCCTCACAACTGCACAAGCATCGTTTTAGTGCTGTGGAGGGGAGAATAGCGTGCCCTTTTCTTTCCTTCTCTTCAACACATACCTCTATTGTTTTACTCCCCTGTTCCTCAGCACGTGGCCATCTGTGTCTGCTATTAGACTGCTAATCCATACAGTAAATATTTTTTTCTTTTTTCCCCCCTTTTTTCTTCTCCTAGGTAGGCTAATGCAGAATTACTAGAGATGGTCACCTTTTATTTGGAATTAAGGATTTCTAGAGTACTTGTCATCATTTCCTTTTTGTTTTCATTCTCTTGGTCTTCTTCATTGAGCTTGTAGTCTGGAAATCCAGACTGCAGTTGAATTCAACTCCTCTAAGTCTTGAAGGAGATTTGATGAACAGGAATTCAGTTGTGAATTGTGTTGTTTCACATGAAAAGAAAAAAAAAAAAAGGCAGAAGAAGTAACTCTGGGGGCTTTCTTGTTTGTTTCTTAACTATAAAAACCTTGGGAATGCTTAACAGGAGTCTGCTCATTTTACTATGTTTAGCCTGTCTTAAATCTGTTGGTTGGTTTGGTTTTTTTCTTTTTTTTCCTCTTGATGAATGTACCTGAATGTTTGAAAGATGCTCTTAGTGTGTAGGAATGAAGAGTGGGTAGCAAGAAATTAATTTTAGCATTTTGATGTGACTGATACAGTAGATTTAGTCCAGCTCTGTTAAAATTATTTTATGTATCTGGCTTAAAGCTGGGCAAAACTTTGGGCTCCCCTACCATTGCTCCTAAAGAGGACATGGCTTAAAATGGAAGAATAGGCATTAGAGTTTTGAAATGCTTGTTAAACAGAGCCTTTGCAATAGCAAAAAAGAAGTGTCTCAATTTGTTGGGCAGAAGAGAAAAGAAGAGTCTACTCCTGAAATCCTTCTGGTTTTGAAAAAAAAGTAGCAGTAAGTCATTCTGGAGTCTGGATGCTGTAAGAGCCAGTAAACAGACTGGGCATTTATTTTTCCTTTGCTTTTTCTGATTGTCAATCTTAATTTTTACTATTTGTACATTTTCAAGAGAATGGAGGCTAAGAAATTGAAAACATAGTCCTCATAGCTCATAATTGCCCATCTGAAGTTGGCCTTGATGTTTCAGGCAGAATTGCTTGCTGTTGCAGAACACCGTCTCAGACAGCATTTCCCAGATCAGTGGGTTTCTTTCCCCTTGACTTCTCAAAGTGGGAGTGAATGGTTTTGTGTATCACATGTTCTGACAGGAAGCCAGGCTTCCAAGGGTAATAATGTTGTTAGTCAGACATTTAGGGGTGATCCACTCTGATAATTTATGGCTGAAGTTTACTAGTCTCATTTTTTTCCTGGTGATTATCAAATACTGAGGCTATCCATTTGAGTCAGCATACGGCTCTCATGCATTGTACAGACTTGCAGTGACTTTAGTTTTCAGTCCATCCTAAAGTTCAGTAATTCTGTTCTGAATCCTCATACTTTGGTTATTTAAGCCAAGCCTGTACTCGCATAATAGTCACACAGGAAGTACTAAGAAATGAAAATATGGTGTGTATCAATGGAAGCATTTATTTAGAAGTGTTTGCTTCATGCTAACAGCTGGAATGTTGTAAGCCTTACATCCTACTCTGTAATGGAGCATTGCTTTGCACTTTTTCTCTCTCTATAGCTCATCTTGCAACATTAATATCAGTTGTTTTGAGCTACTGTAATTGACTAAAAGTTCTTGCTGTGTTTTTCTGACACTCTAGTTATCAGTATATTTGAACATCTAAGTTTCTGCATTTTATAAAGCACATAGCATGGCAAGATGTCCCTTTTTTCTTTTTCTTTTTTTTTCTTTTTTTCCTCCTGGGTAAGTCCTGAGTGGACTTTTCTACACCGGTATCTTTTTTCCATTCAGAATCTTCCTCCACTTAGCCAGGATCCAAACCATGATTCCCTGGCCTTTCAGCATTGCTCAGAAAGCAGATATGTAAAGTCCTTTGGCTGCCCATTCAGGACATTGGTACAGTTACAGCAGAACAGTTACTGCCTGTGGAGTAGCTCCACGTGATTATTATCCTCCACTATTGGCTACAGTAGTTGTTTTTGAAGAGATATGGAGAAAATAGGACATTACTGAATTTTTTTCTCCACAAAAAATTACTGTGAAAGATAGCTGGGGCATTGAGTAGGGTTTTTTGGTGGTGGTGTTGGTGGTGGGTTTTGGTGGGTTTTTGGTTTATTTTGTTTTTTAACCCTGGAGCATAGTTGTGAGTAAATCTTACACCTTTTTCCTCCTGCCCCATTCCCAAAATCCACCCTCAGACTGCAGTCCCTGTAAGTTCTTATGAATTTAAGTTGAGGGTCCTTTCTTCATTATTTAACTGCAGGTGCTTATTTTATTCCTATTAAAATAGTAATATGGATGTCAAGGCCTATAGGTTAACCTGAGAACATCTCAGACTCCATGTAAAATACAGAAGCTCATATTCATCATAATGAATAATACTATGTTCTGATGCTTATTCTTTCCTCCTGTAGGAACATACACATTTTTGTATATTTTGCTGGTCTGAGCACGCACATCCTGTGGTAGAGCTGAACTGCTATCACTGTTTCCCAACATGAGTTTTCATACAAAGAATGGGACTACACAATAAAATCAAGGCATAGTTGCAGGATGGGTAATCAGTGATTATAAATAGCAACAGGAGAGCTCAGGGGTTACTTGGTATCTTTCATTCAAGTGTCTCAAATATTCATTGTGAACCTTAACTGATGAATTCACAGAGTGCCCTGTGCTATGTATTAGTTATTCCATGTCAGCCATACCCAGAGAGCTTAACGGGCATGTCTGAGATCATATAGTAATCTAAAATATGAAACAAAATCTGATGCTTTAATCAGCAAAAAGCACTGTGGAAAATCATGGGAGAGTGTTATCAGTGCAGGCACTGCCTTAGGCTCTGTATTTTACATTTCCCTCCTGTGTTTCCTACTTTATAGTAGAGTTCAGGGTTTTCTCTTGGAACGAGAGTAATCTTCTGTATATATATAATCTTCAAGTAATCTTCTGATAATTTCTCCAAACTACATCTAGTCCAGTTGTGACAACTAATAGTGAACATGCAATTCCAAGAACTGAAAACATTCTTCAGGTTTCAATATAAATACAACAGTAAGCAGGTGAGTAAAGCTGCTCCACCAGGAATTTAAGTGACAAGGCAAGTTTTGATTCCCAAAGTGCAAAAAAGTTTGAATGGTGTAATTCACAATGTTCGTCTCAAAACATTGACAGTTTGACATTCAGGCATTGTGCAGAAAGAGTTCAATTCACAAAACCCCAAAGGCCCAGGAGGCAGACCCAGCAGGAAAATAAATTTAAGATCTTCAGCATGCTATGCAACTTGTACCTGCCCACTTCAGTGTTTAATGAGAGTGAGATGAAGAAATGCTCTGATTTTCATCCTGAAGTTGAGGAACTGAAGCACAGGATGTTTCCAGATCGGAGTAATTGTAACTGAGGTGTCTTAGGCTGGCATTTATTCACTCTAGCTTCCCACTGTAGTCAGTGGCCTGCTTTGGATCTTACCCATTTTTCATAGGAAAATTATGCTATAGCAATCACAGGCCAGTACCTTAACTATTAAATCCTGCTGCCAGCTATTTTATTGTATGTCTTTTATAATGTGTTGGAATTCCTTTAATGTCTAAAATATAGGGTGCTAACACGGAATTGTATGTGTGTCAATGATCTTAGTAAGTTCTAGTTCAAAGTCCATTGTGCAAGGATAATCAAAGTCGTGTTGTCCTTCTCTCCTGCAGTCATCAGCAAAGGTAATAGTCTTCATTAAAAAGTCTTTCGCCAGTGACTTCTGGCAGAAGAGAATGTGCATGTGGTCTCACAATATCCTCAGTAAGTTTATTAGTACGGACATACAGAATTTCTTAAGGAGATTTAAAAAAAACCAGTGCTGTGCTCTTTTTAAAAATTCTGTTGAATGCAGATTGCCATAAACAATATAGTAGAAATACTCTAGGGACAGGTCTTGTCATGGGTCCTCAAAAAAATGTACTGAACATAAAATACAGCTAAGTCTCTGGGCAAAGCTCAACTGATATTAGACTCTCTGGTTTAGTAATGTGGTCTGTCACATGAACAGCATTTGATTGCATTTAATGAATCTCTCTTTGTTAGTAAGACATTCTATATATTTATGTCACTACAGGTTTATCAACCAAGGTTAACGTTTTGGGTAAGCCAGAAAACCTTTCCAACCAGCCGAGGGGATGGGGGATTTCCAAAGGTAAAGTTACTTTTGTAATTTCTTTCATCTAACAAACAGTTTACTAAGATGAAAGTTTTCTGAAAAAAAAAACCTCAAAACATTGAAAGTTCAATGGATTTTATTTTATGACTGCTTCAAGAGAGTAGCCAGCTCGCATGATTTCATCATGAGTCTCATGGTATTCTTTTTTTCTTAAAGCCTTGGCTCCTTGAGCTGGGCAGTTAAGTGAGGATTTCAGCTTTCATTTTAAAATTATGTTTTTAGCCTTCGAGCTTGCAGAAAACATGGAGTCTTGCTGGCTACATATCAGAAAGAAAACATACTAATTTTCAAGATCTCATATTTCTTAAGTCTGTCTCATGATTTTACAAGCTTGACATCTGAGTTTTGAATGCTTGATTTTGGTAATTCTCTCTTAGCAATACGAATGAAAAAGTCAATGTTAATGCAGGAGGAGGAAGGAGGTAGTGCTGGTTTTCTTTTTGTTTTGTTAAGTTTTCTGCTTGTGCCTTACCTGGCTTGAGTAACAAGCATATAAAGCATGGCAGTTTTCATTTGTGTTTGACAAGAAGTACCCCAACATAAATGCAGGAGATGTGGCTTGTCAGACAAGATTCATAAGATCTTGTTCTGTAACCATTGCTGGTTTCATAAATGTGAAACTGGGTATGAAATTTGAGTAGGAAAATAAAACAGTTACTCAGATCCACAGAATGTACATGTTTTATTTTCATATTCCCTTTCATTACTGACTCAAACTCCTGCAAAAAAAATGTCAAGTAAGTAAACAAGAAAGCACATGGAAAATTGTTTTGATTGAGTTTCAATTATTATCTAGACTCCAGCTCCCTGTTAACAAAACTCTGCTATTCCATCTGGATAACACTGTATTTTCCACACTTTTTCTTTGTAAACTTCTAAAATTTATAGCTGGGCTATTTGCAGTCTGCTATTTGCAGACTCATGTGCCAGCATGCCAATCTTTAAATTAACATATATGGCAGTACTGCCATTCTTAACATTCAAAGTATTTCAAAAGTTCAGCTGAGTAGGCTGATAGCAATGCCAGATTACGATGAATGTGCTGTATATGGTTATACTTATATTAAATGAATTTGCTAGTTTTATGAATCAGCTGTGTGTTAACTAGATGTTTTTTATGCAAAATTTTAAGTTAGCAGCTTTTAGTAAGTTGTCATTCATCATTAAACAAAGTTGCTCCTGAAACACAGGAATGAAGCTGGGAACTATGTGCAGCATAGTTAGTAACAATGCTGCATTATATTGGATTTATGAATAGCCATGTTTTTATGCTGTACGTAGCTTAAAAAAAGTTTATCAAAAGAGATAATTGTTTCTCAACTAGTCAAAAAATATTATACTTTTTTCCTTTAAATTAATTGGTTTCCCGCTTTTTAAATATAATGCATTTATTCTATCCTTTATGTAATTCTTCAAAATATATATGGCATATGCTTACAAGGACCAGATTTTAGAACTAGCTCCAAATTTTATTTCACAATTGATCTTCAAAAGCAACTTGAATATTAGCTGCACACAACCCAGCTTCCAGCAGAGTATCAGCCTTAACAGAAACTGAGTGTCTTTGGAATCTAATTTTTTTCATCTGTCGTATAAAATTAATCAGGGTAAATTGCTGAAGAAGATTGCAGAAAGCACTCAGTCCTTCAGCTCAACAGTTTTATGTACTCAGTGCTAGACAGCTCTAACTACTGAAAGAATAAAGTAAAATTAATAGATTTTTTGAAACTCTTATTTCAGATAAAAGTGCTTTTTTTTTTGTTTTCATGCAACCAACAAATATAAAAGGATACATTTCTTAAAGACAATTTATTTCCAGACCTAGAAGGGTCATATGGGACTTTTTATCTTATGATTGTATGGCAGAATTTCAGGACCGAGATTGTTTTCACAGCTGAAAAGGAACTGCCCAACACAATGCTTTTGGAAATTTGCCCAGACCTTTGGTCTGTGTGGTGTGCCTGTTTGCATATGTAAGTTTCTAGTTTTCCTCTCATATCCTGTAATGATACACAAGTAGCAAATTTAGTCAACAAAAAACCAAAAATATTATCACGAGGAGGGAATTTTCTAGAGTCCTGTGAGGAAACATGTTTGTGCAGTCACTAAAATGTAGATGTTATTTTTCCATTCTGAAATTGTCTCTTGCAAAATCCCCAGCTTGGCTCTAGCAAAAGCAAGGTATGTTTCCACTCCTACTTTTTCCCCTGGCTTGCGGAGCCCTTCTGCATATGTGCTGATCGAAGTCTGCTCAGTTTCTCCATTTCTGATGCCCTGAAGGGAGAGGGCACCATTTGCCCTTAGGAAAGGATTTTACTCTGTGTTCAGTCTGAAAACTGCTCCTGGCTGTGTGCAGTGCAGAACCCTGGGGGAGTTCATCTACCCAAAAGCAGAATTTATCCTGTGATAAAGGCAGTGGGAAGGCCATGGGACAGCTTTATTCCCAGCACAAGTAAATGTAGCAAATACAGACATTGCAGTGAAAATTATGGCTCTGAAGAGCCAGGAAAGGAAAATTGCTGAAAATTGCACTTTCTTGGTAGTTGTGAGACTGCCGTGTGTTTAATTCCTAATTCAGAAATTCACAACTCTCCCATCAGAAAAACTGAACTTGGAGAACATAACTTCAATTTCTTAAACAAACTACAAGCAATCTGCTTATATGACAAATGTGTCCTAAGGAATAAAAGCAATAAAACGTCTTTACAATTCTGGTCTCTTAAACGCAAAAACCACAGATTTTTTTCTGTAGCTTACAATATATTACTAGCTAAAATTCTTCTTAAGATCCCATAATGGCATAGTATCAGCAAAGTACTTTAAGCACGTGCTTAGCCTTTAGGCTTCCTACTGAGGCTTAAATTGAAACATATATTTAAATGCTTTGCTGAATAGACATAGACTTCAGTGACCGAATGGTTAACTCCAGTTAACGAAATCCTATCTGAGGCAGCTGGCTGACACAGCACACCATCTCCATACTTGTCCAGAGACAAGTAATACACTGTACGCTACGGTGCCTTTAGAGTGCTCTTTTCAATGAAGTACTATAGGAAAGTCACTTAATACCGTACGCTAGCTGCTTAAGCTGTAAGGTGTTTATGAGAGGTCTAAGCTGTAAAAGGTTCTCTTAACAGTAAGATGATCTTTCATAACTAAGATGCACTTTTATGTTGGAGGCCAAGTGAAAGGATAAAATGGAACCTGGGGTTTAAAAAAAGCAAGGAAACAAATTAATTTATTGGCAACTAATACCATTAACATTAGTTTCTTGGTTACCCAAGTTGGTACTGAGTTATATTTTCAAAGAGGCTCGGTGCCATCTGTTGATTTGTGGCCATGAGTTTTGCATTCATGATGCTGAGACACCGTGCCTCCTGTGCTTCACATGTGCAAAAATAGGTAACAGCTCGTTTTTGGCCATATTTGTATGCCAGAACTACTGCACACACGGCACCTGCAGGTGCAGTTTTAGGCCTGAATTGTCCCAGCTATAATGAAGGGCACCGAAATCACTTGGTTTGGCAAGAGTGAGAAAAATAATTTTGAGAAGCAGTGTAAGGATGTACAGCTGGCGGTGAGCTGCAGAAAGGGTTGTCACTCCATAGCTTCTTCTCCTGTAACTTTGCTGGGATGACTGGGGTCTCCCCAGCAGCAACAAATGCCCAAATTCCCCAGTGCAGCAGTGGAGGACGGTCGTTGGCTCAACTCTTTTTGCATTTTGGCTGCTGGGGCACACTCATTCATCCCCAAGTGAAGAGTTTTCCTTAGATGCTGCAAGGCTTGCCTGGTGGTTAAGCGATCCTTTGCTCTCTGTAGCATTAGCATTTACACTTGATTAAGTCATGTTTAGTAGACGTTCATTTCTGAACTAAAGGTAGGGAACTACTGAAACCTCAGAACAGGAGATGGGAAGACCCCACTGAACTGACTTCACCGAAGCACAGCTGATACTCTTTTTTCCTCTCTGCAGGGAAGTCTCCCCATCTCGAAGGAAGTAAATCGCAAGAAGAAAAGTGAGGCAGAGGGGGCATGCCTGGTTCCAGTGAATGGCTATGGACACCATTTCACCAAAATCAATTACCTCTACTCTTTTTAATCATAATTTCTTCATTTGTATTACATATGGTGTATGGGTTTGATGAGGTCATGGTGTCATATATTGGGAATTGTTTCTGTGTAAATCATCAAGTGTAAGAAGAAACTATGGGACTCTGAGCCTTGCTTTAGAGAATAACAGTGGACAAATGTGTACCATAAAAAATAGTTTTTAACATTCTGACTCAAGCGAAAGCTCTCAGAATTTCACACTGTGAATCCATGTTTACAAACATTACAGGTGGGCCCTCAGGCCTAGTTCTACCACAGCAATGTCTTCCACTACTCAAACTCCACTGCTCACATGCAACTGGTAAACTGCTCTCTCCATTTCCACCATCCCGAACTGCTTCTTGCAGAGGCTGAGAGTCCCCCTTTTTTTTCATTTAGATGTAACAAGCCTAGTAGTTTATTTTCATCGATTGTCTGTATATCTCTATATTTTATCCATGTACTCTTTTGATGTATAGAAGTAGTATGAAACTCATGGTTTCCTTGTGGTAAGTGATTGTGATGCTGCCACGGGATTTGAGACACTGATGAATGGTGCTATTTTGGACTTTAAATATGCTCCTTGGCAAGGTAGCTCTGATGGAGTTATTTTTTATTTCCATGTTCTGAGAAGGTGTTGGTACTTTGTTTTTCTGAATGTTGTTCTTTAGATGGGACTGATTTGTTTACTTGTGTCTTCAGTGTGGCTTTCTTATTCAGTGCCGTAGGTGAGTAACTACTTATAGTGTACAAGTGAAGAACTGATTCCCTATCAGGGTCCACTCACAAACATGCAGTTATAGTGGGAGCAATCACAAAACTGTAATTTACGTAAAATCTCCTTTCTGACTCCTATCCACCTAACAGAGAAAGATGAGCAATAATTTTCCACCAACCTCTCAAAATCTTTTTTGATTTTTGTCTTTTTTTTAAAGCCTTTTTTTGAAGAAGGGACAAGTTTTAATGTCCTCTTCAAATCGGAAAGAGTACATTTCCACGCTACTGTCAACATGTGGACTTTACATTTTTGTTCTTGCTCCCAGACTACTATCAATACAAAACAACACAAAACACAAAACTAAACAGTATCATCTACTCATGGAGTGTTGTTGTGTTAGACACAGTCTGAAAGCCCACCTTAATTTTTTATATAACTTTGTCTTTTAGCTCTTCCTTTTACAGGGCAGGCCTTGTTCTGAACTGTTTTAGCTTCTGACTGTTAAATAACAATGCATGCACTGCACTTCCTAGATTTCTTTCCTTTCCCCACCTTCTGTATCCCTTCTCTTGTACATTTTGTTTTCCAATAGATTAGATATGTCTACTGTGCTGTATATAGAGCAAGAAGTAATATTCAGCAGTTGTGGCATTTATGTATAGTTGCAGTTGTGTACTGCTGAAAACGCAGGCTTTTGTAACAATGTGATCTTTAATAATGCACTACAAGTACCCAATGTATTTTAGCTATTTTAGTAGGATTTGTTCAATAAATATGCAAGCTCTAAGGGTAGCCGTGACGTCTCTGTTTCCTTATTACAATAAGGGGTAGGCTCCTTTTCTGTTTGTTTGCACCTGTTCTTTACGTGACTTCTGGGGGTTTTTTTGAGGAATATCTGCTAAAGTAAAAGGTGATTCCTTTTGTTGTCTGCTAAACAATAGCTATTAAGATAACCTAAATACCAGACCTGGATCTGTGAAATGATAGCTGCCGGACAATGGTAGTCATGTACTTCGCTTTCAAGAGTGCTGAGTGGCTGGGTCAGACGTGACACTTGATGCCATTTTTAGTAATTCCAGGAGGAGGCTGTGGGGCTGTGCACGGCAAGCACAATATATTTCATTTTCCGCCTCTGATAAACCGAATGAAAAGGCCGTTTTCCTAGCATGTGTAATTTAGTTTAAAAGAGCGTTGATACAGTCCTCTCTTTCAAAACAGTTTTATTGGGGGAAAAAGTAATATCTGCATTTGTAAGGTTTAGAACATATATTGGTTTCATTTTAGCATAGAAAACAGATAGAGCTGCATTTTTTAAAAACACAAGCAGTGATCTACCAATTAATGCCGGATGTAGGTCTGCCCCTGAAGTTTTCCAGTCATGAGACCAAACAAGTGCAATTCCATATGCCCTGACTGTCTATCCCACTGAGTGAATTTACACAGGGACTGAGTTGGGTTTGATGACTACAGCTGTATCACAGAAAACTGACCACGCACACACAGCACCTGATCCAAACAGCCACCGATCTCACTGTAGGAAACACAACAGATGGCACTGTATTTGGACTAGAGCTAGCTCTCTGGTTAGAAAGCAGTTTCATCTATCTGTCGTATATGTATATACAGACAGACATTATAAATATACACATCTGTATACATATGTAAATGATGAGAAACAGTTAATAGAATTAGAAGAATGATTAATTGATTTTGTTTTTTTAATCTGTGGTCCACTGGCTTTGGGAAGTAAGTGAACCATTTCTAAAACAGATATGAAAGGCCTTTAAATCCCAGTCCTGTTGTTAGCAATATTTAAATTCGCTACACAAGAAAAGCTTTTAAAGGTGAAAAATTTAAAAGGGTTCCACACTCATTTGGAACTGGCAGCTGCTGACATAATTGCTTGACCTTGGCATTGGTTTTTAATCTTCACAGCAACATGTCACATTTTAATAAAGACATAAGGATCTGTGGATTAGGGTCTTTGATCAAATTACAACAACTGAAAAGTCATTCTTGAATACCACAAATAACAGATCTTTTTCTTAATAATAAACATGAAGGACTCCTTACTGTATAAAACAACTTTTAATATGCTAACATTCCAGAGACTGAAATTTGCCAAAGATGACTTCATATGTGTTGTGATTAATAGAGGCTTCCTAAACAGGAAAAGGTGACCTACACTTTTGCATCAGCAATAGTGGCTGTAGCATGTATGTAGCATCAGCTTCATAAGATTAAAAAAAAGAAAAAAATTACAGAGTGACCATACCTAAAAAAAACAATGGTATGGTCATTCTAAGGAATGCCCCTAGGACTTCATACATGTCTTTCCTGTAATGCTCCATGAATCATAATTATTAGACATGTTGTGAAGAAACTATACAGTTTGACTGTCTGAGACATTAGCTACATGCATCACACAGATGCTCCTGTCTGGTGTACATATGATACCCCCTCGTGCATACCAGGGGTTCAGGTGAGCAGTGCACTTTGCACCCCTACGTCAGGGCTTGGGGTTGGGGAGCCGGGGGAGGAGGCTGGGAATCTCCCAGCTGGATGCTCAATGCAGCCATGGCACAATCGAACTTTCCTACACCAAGAGTACACCAAGTCATATTATTCTTATCCTTGGGACGGCAGCATTTAATTTTGCCTATGGCACAAAGAGGCCTTGAGCTGGATCTAAGAACGAGCAGCATCAAAGCTGATCTAGAGAGGTGGTGGCAGGGCAGGGGTGGGGAATGGAGCAGGTCAGTGCTTCTCAGGTTGTCAGGGAGGCTTCCTGTAGCTGGAAAATTGATTAAAACAATTGAAAAAAAAAAGAACTCACTAAATGTGTCTCATAGTGAGTTGATGCAGTATAGCAGGACAAGCCACCTCTTTAACCTGCTTGTTAAATAATTATTTGTGCAATAGAAAGGCTAGTGAGAGTACTTTTGAAGCATTATGGTCAAGTAGATCAATTCAGGAAACATTGGTTCTAACTCACAAACCTTGTAATAACATGTCATGGAGGAACTGGTGAATCAATCTTTGTTCCTCAGTGAATCAAACAAGAAAAAAATGAAGATGAATTCTGCAAAATAGGAATAATAATGTATACTTGTTTTTCACAAAGCATTTTAAGCAATGCAGACAAAATCACTAATTAGGAACTAGCTATTGTTACCACTGAGCATCACATTTTACATGGAAAGTAGGGCAGAATGGCACGTGTTGTCCGTTAAATTCCAGTATTAAAAACCTCTGCGTTGTTAATTACCAAATGAAGAATTCATTAACCCTTACATCTTGGAGTTTATGCTGCTAACAACATCCTGAGGAGGTGGGTTAAAAAAATTGACTTATATTCTTAAGTTTATTCAGTGGAAGTTAGCTAAATTCTCTCTGCATACATATAAAATCTATGCAAAAGAACAGTAACAGTTTTAAATCAATATTGCTTTAACAACAGACTCCAATCAAACAGACTACAAGTACGTTTCCACTATTAAAGCTGTACTACCATATTATGAAAGAAAATAAAAAAAAATCAATATTCCAGATAAGCAGTTCAAACCGAAAAAAGCAAATTTAAATAGAATGAAAATGAGCCCAGATCTGTCTCAACAGCCTCATGTTCTTGTGAAAAAAAAGCAAACATGATACTGGAATAACCTGGAGTATAGCCAGCAAGCCAAGTGAAGTAATAGTTTAGCACTAGTCAGCACTGGCAAGGCTACAGCTGGAATAAGACATCTTACTTGGGCACCCCAGCTCAGAGAAGATGGGCGCCCTGTGGCGAGAGTCCAGGGGAACACAGCAAGCGCGGCGTGAAGGACGGCAGAGAACGTGTCTGATGGGGAGTGACTGAAAGAAACGGGTTGGTTTGGTCCCAAGTGAAGCTAATGAACTGCTCTTTGTGGGGGTAGAGTGGTCTTCAGTGTCATAAAAGAGGCTGAGGTAATACCTAGAAATCTGGAAAAGACTTTCAAAGGTGGAAGGACAGGAATGTGCTCGAGTGGGGTGCCAAAGGAGAGGCTGTGGGATGTTCATCTTCTGAGATCTGTCAGAACAGGTTGGAAAATCTCTCTTATTGTTTGTATTACTCATTACTCAAAGCCAGGTGATCCTATCATGAAGTAACAATAGACTAGAATCAGGAATTTCAGCCTTTTTATGGCTTCCTAAAAACTTCCCTGGCAAACACAGTGTGGCCCCATACATTTCTAAGACCATCCACACAAGACATGCGTTCCCCACTCACCTTTTCCTCATGCTGCAGACAGAGTCCAAGGGGCTATGAGCTACGTGCTAAAGCATGAGACACCTTCTTGTGGTCCCTCACATCCCTGTTTTCTAAGATTCATTTGAGTTCTGGTGAAGTAAAAGAAAGAAATACAGGAACTTGTGTGGGCTTTGCTGCTACAGCCATGAAAATATGGGTAACTTACACTCTAGTTGAGAGAAAGGAAAGACCAGGAGGGAAAAAAAAGAAATGCAGAGAGAATGTAGCAGGCAATTAAGGGGAAACAAGAAATTCAGAAGAAGTTGTGCCTATCTGAGCTAGAGCTCAAAAGATACAAGGTTTGCAGAGACAAAACATGAGCGTTACACTCCAATTTGCAATAGATATTTTCCTTTTCAGATGCTCTGAAACACCTTGTTGAAAACACACAGGAAGCAAACTTGACTTCAGAGGACAGTCATTGGTGGTTTTTCTCCCCACATTCTGTGAGCGGGGAGCTGCAGGAGAGGAGGTAGGCTGGCAGCCCCACCAGGAAAAGATGTAGCAGGAGACAAGACTCTTGGCCAGCTGAGTGGGGAGCACAGGCATGTCTTGATGCCTCAGCTGTGCCTGCCTAGACCAGGTTGGGCCTCATGACCCTGGCTTTGCCCTTGCACATGGACATGCCTGGCAGCATTCACACAACGGCCACCACAGTCAGACCCTGTGTCTTTAGTCCCAGGCGAAGTGGGGGAACATGGTAAAACAGCAGACACACTGTAGTTTGCATCCTCCTGAAGAAAGAGTCCAATATCTGGACGCACAAATACTACCTACATATGTTGTAGAATAAAGAAGAAAATATATCTTGCATTTATAGTTTAACTCCTATGTAAACATAACCTAAAATCCTCAGGTAACCTACTAGCATACTGACAATCCCGACTGCCTACATCTATTCATCTGAACTGTTTTGTAAGTGCATACAGAGCTCTGAGCTACCATCTGTCTGTCAGGGTACGGCCAGAGCTCAAAGTGCTGTGTAGGC